CTGCTGAATGCGCCATCTATATAAATAAATGCTACATAAATGCGAGTGTTGTTGTTGTTGCTTCCTAATGCAGTGTTTTCTCCAGTTATAGTCTCATCTCCAACCTGCCCTTTCTCTCCAAGAGGCTAGAACCGTAGTGTCTTCTTACCTCCTAGCTTTGCTTCTTCCTCTCCATCATTCCCTGTAGGGTCCCTCCAATCAGATTTTTATCCTATCCTTAGTCCCGAGATGACCCTGGTCAAAGTCACTAATGGCATCCTTTGACCTTTGACCAGGAACCTGTGACCAGGGTTCCCTGTGATTCCTTGGGCTGCTTGATCTCTCTATCTTTGACACCATTGACACTGAATCCTTCTCTGCCTTTGTGGCTCTGTGTGTTCCTGGTTATATTCCTGCCTGTCCCAGCAGCATCCCTTTATCCCTTCTAATAGCTTCTCCTGGCTCTGCAAGGTCATTTCCAGGGTTCCTTCACTCCTTCCCTTTTCATCATCCACATGCTCCCTCTTGATAGCATGATCTACTGGTACAGGGTCCATTTCCATTGATGATACCCTGCTCTAGCTTTTTTACTGCCTTTCAAATCGTGTTTTTTTATCCTAGCTTCTACATTTTACAGTTGTATATTTATCTTGACATCCCAAGGCCTGTCAATCAGAAATATCAGGGCTCAGGAGAGTAAAGACTTCATGCCAGAGAGTGACCATTAAATAAACAAATGAACAAGTTACTCTAAACTGTATTAGCTGCATTCTTTTCTGCACATTTCCCACATATTTACAACCAAGGTCATTTTCAGATTGGTGGTGGATTACTTTTCATGAACTGTATATACAGAAAGCTGCCGTGATTTTGCTAAACTCTGGTTATTTATGTTCAAAACAAAGTGCTCTCTTTCCCACAAAACAAGTCGTCCCCTGGTCTTCGCTGGATTTCACTAAGCAGCAAATTGCACTTTGTGGAAAATCAAATAAGATTTTATTGTTCTGCAAACAAAATAAGTGACTTGCTAAATTAATATTGATTTAATAACTTACAACTTTAATTACTTATAGCCTGTTGTTTCCTCTTTCCTCCTCTGCCCCTGAACAAATGGTTCATTCTTTTGTAAGTTTTGAGGACTTGATAACTTGAGTCAGCAGGTACCTGTTCAATAAGCACAATCATGAGATCAACAATGTTGGAAGTCCAACATTCCCAGGAGCCATGTTCTGTCTGTTCATGTAAAGCTCATGTCACCATTAACTTGCTTTGCCTCAGGTTAATTTCAGCTGCTACCACGACATCAAACCCAACCAAACACTTGGTGACGGATTTTGATTCGTCAGGAAGAGCATGAACAACTTATACCCAGCCTACTTAGAGAAACATAGCAGTAAGGACAGGTCAAATGTCAGTTCCATCAAAAACAATGTGTGAAAATGCCTTGGATCCAGCCAATCACACAGATAGCTCTGACCGCCTAATGACGATACACGTTACAGGTATTTTTAAGAAGATTTGTCAACAGCTCTGCATGTAAAACCATACTAACCCCAAATTACACTTGATTATATAGGGCCTCTTTAGATTCTCTGAGTCTTACATCGTAATAATCCTTGCACGTGATATAGTGCCTTATCTTGTCATCAAAACATCTCAAAGATGTTCAGGGCATTTAAAGTGTTGTCGCTATTTACTTTATAAGCAAATGTAGCAACAATTTGTGCACAGCAATGGCTCACAAACAGCCACAAAGTGAATGATCAATTTTATTTAGGGATTGTTTGCCAGGAAGCAAGGAGAAATTCCTTTCTCTTTTCGAATAGTGCCATAGGATTTTTAACATCCTCCTGAACAGATATATGGGACCTCATTATAACATCTCATCCAAAGGACGCCAACTCTGACAATGCAACACTCTCTCAGCAATACATTTGAGTGGCAGTCTGGACTGTGAGCTCAAACTGCTGACGTCGGGCTCAAAACCAAAACCTTCTTACTCCGAGGCGAAAGTGCTACCACCTGAGTCAGGCTGATACTTGTTGAGTCCCAATTTAATCAGGCAAGGTGGGTTACCTTTGTTGCCGGTTTGATGTCTATGGTATGTGTTTTAAGAAAACAACTCTTTTTAAAGTCTGGTATAATTTCCTCAGGACAATCCGAGACGGGGTACATTCTAAAACCCAGTTTTGGCGACCAAGGAAATTAAAAGACCTAAGGTTGAAATTCCATTCGCCATCAAGAGTTAATGGTCTGTGCACGCAAGTGTGGACTCATTTAGGAAAGAGCTTAATCCTGTAATGGGAAGATAGAAGGCCCTTCATCCTATTGATCTCACCTTTCGAATAATAATAGCTAAATGTTTTCTCATTACAGCATTAAGCTTTCTCTTCCTGGCCTCCACCACAATGCCTAACAATCCATTCCAACTGTTGATTGCCCTCTGTGTAAAAAAATACTAGTATCTGTCCTGAAATTGCTCTTAACAACCCTGAACCTGGGTTCTCTTGTTAAACTACCATAAAACAGCAAGGAAATCTCCTATTTTGCACAATGATAAGCATTATTGCATGAAAAAGTGAACAAAAGGCACAAGCTAATGCATTGGATAGTGTCCAGATAATGGAACAGATAATGAAGCTTTGGCACGTGAGCATCTGTGCTTTCATCTATGGTGAAATAAGGTGTAGTTTAAACCTCTAATTGTGGAATACTCTTGAAATGTAGTTGATTAATTTATAGAAGTGCAATTTTGAGCAATCAGAACAAATTTTGAAGGCTTCATTGTCCGTGAAAAAAAGTGCTGAGGGTTGAAGTCGATTCGGAGGCCTAGCCAGAAGCAAAGCAATTACATTTAACATGACATTTTCTTCTGGTAAGAAGTCCGCAGGAGGCAGAATGAGGCTGAACCGCAAACACTAATTTCAGTGGCTGTGTAAGTAGTGCTTGTACAGAGCCTGACATTTAAAACGCATGACTACTAGGAACATTTGGCTGCTGGTTCTTTTAAATCGTGTTTCCTCTAAGCTGATTTCGTTTATAATTGTACTTTCGGTGGAAGGCTGATTTTTTCCTTCTGTTCTGAGCCTAATCAACATATGAGAGCCTTTGTTTTATACTGAGGGGGTATTTTCGCTTTCCAATAAATGTTGGAAGATAGGAACAGCACAAGTTAGATCTAGGGTATTAAATATGGAGATAGACATGCAATTTTGTAAGTCAGTAACATTAATTTTTCAACAGCTTCAAATCCAACAGCATATCATGGAATTGGATTAAAACAGTATCTTCGCACTTTAAAACTCAGTAATTTAGTGGGCCCCAAGCTTTCCTTGTTGTCATCAAGGACCTAATTGAAGTGTTTTTCATGGTGTTTTACAATATGCTTGTGCTTTTAAGAATGATTATAACCATGGTATTAGTTCTATATCTTCTATTTTGAGATCTAATCTACTCAAGCATTTATACTTTGTCAATGTATTAAAGAATAGAAGGACCAGAGGTATGTACATGACCAGAAAATAATAATAATAATAATTCTTGCATTTGATATAGCGCTTTTCACGTCTTCTAGACATCTCAAAGCGCTTCACAGAATATACTGTAAAGTGAATTGACTCTATATTTGTGGGTGAAATGCAGCAGCCAATTGTGCACAGCAGTGACCCACAAACAGTCGTAGATTGAAGTGACCAACTTATTTTTTTTTCTTGAGGGATTATCATCAGAGGTATGTGGAGTAAGGAAACTTGCCCAAGGTTTTGCAATGCCGGGAATCAAACCCAGGTCTCTCACTTGCCAGGCGAGTGCTCTAACCACTGAGCAACAGGACTCCTGTAGAAAAATTAAAGAAAAATGTATTTGGAGCACAAGTGGAGTCCCAAAGTTAAGAAAATAGTCCAATTGAATGTGATACTCAAAAATCAGGGTACGGGCCAGTTATTAAGAATGTGCAGAAATGATTTGGAACTGCATTTAGAAATGTAAGTTTTCTGATAATATCAAACTGGGAGAATTAATATGAAAGAGGTGATCAAACGTGAGAGGGATCTAGCTAGATTCGGTTATTGGGCAGCCATGTGTCCTTTAATGTGTTTAGTAGAGAGGTTACCTTCCACAGCTCCATGGGCAGCAGTTTCACTTCACCATCTTGTTCATGTAACAATTCTTCAGCCAAGTCAGTGAGTGTTGTATCCGTTGTAGAGACAATACAGTGAAGCGCAATCCTGGTCCTAGGCTGATATCGAGACGGAATCACTGGACAAAAACATGAACCTTGCTGTTTCCTCGCTTTTTTAGTTCGAAAATACTGATGCCAATTGTAGGAATCCCATCATCCACCTCCCCTACTCATCTCAGATAATTCTCAGCACAGACCCAGGTTGGATGACGAGACTTCCATGCAGTGTGTGGGTCAGTACCATTCCTTCCAAGCTATGGAAGGGAAGTCATCAAGTGTATCGATTGGGAAAACTCTAAATGACTTGATAGTTAATGTTTCTGGTGAATGTTATTTTGGTGGAAAGCAATGTTTGTATTCTTTAAACCTATTCAATCATTTTCTTTGAGGTAATATGTTTGACAGTAATTTGATGAACACCACCCTGTGGCCAGGCCATAACTGTAAATCTAGCAAAATCTATTGTTATATTCAATAAAGTAAAGACGACCCACAACCTCGACATTCTCATCCTACAATCTATTTTGCTTGTTGAAATTTTTCTTCCTGTGTTATCTTGAAGCTTTTAATTCTTTATGCAAAATGAGTTATTACATTGCAGTGTGATTATCCATGTTACAAACTCCCCTTGGATAGTAATTTCTTTAAATAGTGATTGGACCTGATGGCAAGTTCCATCAAATGACCTACTTGAAAACAAAATGAGAATTATTAAATAAGATATATATAGATATACAGTATAAAGTGATTTATGTGAAGTACCTTTGCTGACTCTGCACTGTAACAGTTTTAGTTTGGTTGGACTAAGACAAAGTGAAGCTAAATATGCACATCTTGGTTTCAGAGTTTATTATGGAAATGACCCAGGTTTATATAATGACAATATAGGAGCAACAGCAGTGACATTCTTCAATAATTCAGCACTAGCCTGAATGCGTTGTCATATTTCACCACCTTTACCTTCCTGGAGTCTAGAAATATTTGTCTAAAATGCACAATATGTGTTTTCCTTTGAACAGTATAATATTATAGGTTTATGGTGTGATATTTGATCACTTATTTGATGAGAACCTCCATTAATATCCAGAAAGACAACCAGTTACCACCATCCAGACATGTCACACCAAAGAGCAATATATACATACTTACCAAAAATAATGACTTTTGTTCAGCTCTTTTGGCATATATCAGAAAATAGTCAATTGCATTTAGTGATCTTAAAGAGTATAGGCAAAATAACCTCCAATATTATATTCAATATGGATATTAGTGTCTGAACCTTCAATGTGAAATGCTAAATCAGTTTATATTTAACTACTTGTAATACTTTACACAGCGGGAAACTGCCTAGAGACATGGTGGTGGCAGATAGTACAGGTAGTTTCAAGAAATCAGATAACTTTTTGATGGTGGAGGGGTTGATTTTAATACATACACTGTGTGAAATAAAGATGGTGTTTTAAAAAAACATTGCTTTGAGTTCAAAGTGACAAATATCCTCTGAGGAACAAGCATTTAAATCCAAATTTAGGGGAGTAAAAAGAGAAGTTTGGAAGAATATTTTCCAGGGGGTTCTTATTGTATGACACAATTTCTTGAGGCTGTGGCAATTTGGGGTCCTTTAAAAAGGAATTGGACAAACATATGCAGATGAACGATATTAGAAAGTACAGGAATTGGGATTAGGATGGATGACTTGGAGCAGCAAATACCAACATGAATAAATTGGCCAAATCTCCTATGGCATCACACATTTCTATGGAATACAAGGAAATTTTGTTTAATGTCTAATTTTGCTTAGGTTTCACTTCAGGTTCAATGTAATGTAAAATGCAATTCATCTGGACATGTGGTCCTAACAGCAAACAAAGCTTTTGCCTGCATTCAAACTGCTAAGGTATTCCATCTTACACAAATATGGGGAGCACTGCACGAGAGACACAATTATACATTGGTCTCTGCTTTTGCTGGCAGCTACGTGAGTTTTACATGCTTTACTATTCATGTACCTTCCCCTGTCAGCTGGGAAGAGAATCAGAAGATCAAACCTAGCTCATATACAATTGACTTTGAAACAACTGCACATTCAAGAATTTCTGTTGCCACCAGTCTATGGGTGAAAATCTGACCAAATTGACAGGAATTAAATGTTTCAGTACATGCTTTAAATGTACTTCCATTAAAAGTACAGGTTTTAAATGTACTTCTATGTACAGTAAAGGGAACTATCTGGGTAGTAAGTGGTAATCAGATATGTTAATAAAAATGACCGGAGGTTCTCATTTAAAGCTTGGTTCCAGCAATTTTTAAAAGGTTATTTATGTACATAACACAATACTCATTTAACAAATTTACGGAAATCCAATTAGCTCATTGACCTACATATCACACTTAGGCAATAAAGTGAATGTAACTGAAGCTGGGCGACCTGAGTCAGTTCAACATTGTGCCCTGAGAGATCCAGTATTGCCCACTTTATGTTTATTACTGCTTAATGGAAGGCTATGTTCACAGATTCATTTACTAAACAAAGCAGAAAGGAAAAAATGAATTAAGTCACATGTTCAGCTGATATGGTCAGTAAATGATACTATTTCAAGCCTCACCTTTGCCTACACAGGACAGTACTTACATTTTATACTGTGAAGCGCTATGAGACAACCTTTGACATGAAAGGGTCTATCAGTATATCAAATGTAAGGATCATTATTATTGTCATGTTATTCAAGTAATGGTGGAACCTCAGGGTTATCCAGAAAGTCGTCATGGTTACAGTTCCTTTCCGTTACACTCTCCTGACGGAATTTGATGGGACCTTCAGCGACAGGTTTCTTGTCTTTCACTATATTGGTCACATCAACGCGGGAATGTTTGCTGGGATCCACTTCTAGCTTCTCAATTCGTTGGGTTGTTCTGTGGAATAATTCAGTGAAGTAGTAATTAGATAAGACTGCTGCAGTTTAAATCTCATCAATAACTCACTGAGTTTATTCAAAAGCTTTTATTGTAAAATACTTGATATTTTAATGCATTGTTAATTTCTCCTCCACTTTAAATTTCTTTATAGCTCCCATCTTAGAAAATAGAAGATTGAGAGGTAACATGAAAGGCGACCTTGCTTTCCTCTCCTGGAACAAGTTGTTGCTTCTCAGCTTCGCTCCTTTCTCTCCCGCCACTCCCTTCTCGAACCCCTCCAATCGGGCATCCGTGCTACCCACAGCACAGAAACAGCTCTGGTCAAAGTGACAAATGTCCATTCTGTCCATCTGAGACCAGGGCTCCCTCTGCCTCCTCGACCTCTCTCCTGCCTTCGACACCGTTGACCACTCTATCCTCATTCACCGCCTCTCCTCTCACCTCAACCTTGGTTCTGACCTTGAATGGTTCAGATGGTACCTCTCACACCGCCGCCACTTCATCTCCACAAACGGTTTCTCCTCTAGCCCCTGCACCGTCTTGTTCCTCAGGGCTTTGTCCATGGTCTCCTCCTCTTCAATATCTATATGCCCCTCTTGGTGACATCATCCACAAACATGAAGTCAACTTCCACATGTATGTGGATGACACCCAACTCTACGTCTCTGCCTCCACCCTCTGTCAGATATCAAGTCCTGGATGAGAGCTAACTTTTTCAGTTGAACGTCAACAAGACCAAAGCTCTCCTGATTGGCTCCTGAGGATCTTTGGACATCCTCCCAATGTGAAAGGCACTTTATAAATGAAAGATTGTATTGTTGTATTGTTCTTGTCCGCTCCCTCCGCTCAGCGGGCTCTGGCTTGCTTGTCGGCCTCCCCAACTCCTCCCTCCATAGGCTACAGATCATCCAGAACTCTGCAGCCTGTGCCCTCTCCCGCACCAGGCTCTGTGACCTTATCACACCCATCCTCGCCCGACTCCACAGGCTTCCCATCACACTGAGGATACAGTTCAAGATCCTGGTCCTCACCTTCAGTGTCCTCCATGGCTTTGCTTCCCCCTACCTCTGCAACCTCCTATCCTACCCGCTCCCTCTGCTCAGCGGTCTCTAGCGTGCTTCACGTCCCCCACCTTGCCCACTCCACTCTTGGTGGGTGGACCTTCTGCCACTCTGCCCCTACCCTCTCGAACTACATCCCACAGTCCCTCTGCCTCGCTCCCTCCTTTGCCTCCTTCAAGACCCATCTCAAGACTTTCTTTTACGACGGTGCTTTCAATCACCCTGCTTCCCCCCTGCCCTCCCACCTCCCGACCCCTAGCTCAGGGCCAAAACAGTAACTATTCAGCGCCTTGGGATGTCCTCCCGACATGAAAGACGCTCCACAAATGTAATTTTGTTGTTCTTGTTGTCTTTAAGATTCTAAAAGGGCTAGACAATATAGATGTCAAAATACAGATGACAGGCTGTTTCAACCTGTCCAGAATAGTAGAACCAGAGGACAAAGCTTGCTTTTGAAGTGGGGTAAATTCAGAACAAATCTATGCAAACACTATTTTAGTGAGCGAATAGTGAACCTGTGGAACAGGGTCCTTAGAGAGACGGTTGAAGCAGGAAGTGTTGATTCTTTCAAACATAGATTAGACAGTTTTCTTTTAGGAAATAACATTATGGGATATAGTACAGAGGTAGTTTGAGACATATGTGCATGCGACTGCCAGGAAGGTGAACTAGATGGACCTTGGTCTTTTTTCGTCTAGCATTTCTTATGTTCTTATGTTATATTCTTGTTCAGGTGAATATTCAAGATCTCATGACACTATTCAAAACAAGAAAGGAATTTCTTCATGCATCCTGGCTAACAAACCTCCAGGTAAATTGGTCATGTCTGTTTGTGGACCTTGCTTTGTTTAAAATGGCTGCTGTGTCCCTACAAATTCAGAAAATTAACTTGACAGTAATTACATGGGAAGTGTTTTGAGATGTTTTGATGTAACAAGGCGATCTACCAAATGCAAAAATTGTACATAATATTTATATTTCAGATTAAATTGAAAAATCTCAGACACCTCTATGGTTTCCTAAATTCCCATATAAAACAGCTACATCGTAACATATTTGAGGTTATCAGATGAACAAACTTTCAAAACTGGTCTCTGCTTACAATATACTACTTATATTTTACAATATACAACTTATAGTTCAGAACTTTTCAATAAATGGGTATTAACAATGTTTTATTGCAGCATGGAATAAAGTGAAAATCCTTTGAAAGTATTATAATTATAATAATATAAGATTATAATCTGGAAACCAGCAAGCCTAGTAATGTGCTTGAACATATTTAGTTGTTTTGGTAAATACTTGGGCACAATTTGAAGTTCTGAAGCATATTTATTAGGGTACTCGTTTAGAAGCGAGAGGACCCAGATTTGATTCCTGGATGGGGCAAAACCTTTGGCAAGTTTCCTTACTCTACAACGGTCCAGCAACCACAGCCTTTTGGGGGAGAGAGTTCCAGATTTTCACTCCCCTTTGGGTGAAAAACTGCCTCCTAATATCACTCCTAAATGGCCTAGCTCTAATTTTAAGATTATGCTCCCTTGTTCTGGATTTCCCCTACCAGAGGACTCCCATTTTCGCTTCAGGAGAGGGTTTCAAAGCACTTCACACTGAGGCCTGGGAGTCTGAGCTGGTGGGTGGACAAAAGATTGTTTGAAGAGGTACATCCTAACGTGGATTTGGAAGGTGGAAAAGCCGAATATTAGCTTGCTGCATGGTGACCTATTGATCTGGGAATTCGTGAAGAATTGGCCTGGCTTGTCACTACCAATTCCCAAATTATTATCCTAAGTTATTGAGATATAATTTAAGTTCCCATCTAGCTATTCTGTGACCCCCCTTTCCCAAGCAGCTCAGTTTACTGTTACTCCAGCGGGTCTGTTTTGAGGTGGTAACCAGTGGTTTAGGGATTCACTTAGCAGTGGAAAGCAGAAGAAATCCAAAACACTTTGAAGACGTGAATGCATTGTACAATCTATTCTCATTTAATAAGAAAATCACTTACTTCCTAGTCACAGAATAGTTGACAGGAATGCAGATAAAATAAAAGCCTTCACAAGAAAAACACACAGCTTCCACAGCTGCCTCAGCAGATATGTCACAAATACCTTTACTGTTCATTTGTTCTTCAGATGGCAGTTTCTGTGCTGCATTGATTTTCTCCAGAATAAGTTTCTGCACAGGTCCATAGCAATCCAACAAGTGGAGTAATGGTACTGAATCATGAATTAGAGGCATATATTTCCAGATATGATGGAAATTATATTTTTAAACATGAGACGGAACTGAAGTAAATTCCTACGTACTAGCTATTAATATTCAATCTACAAAAGTATGACAGGGGATTAGATTTCACAGATTGTACTTTTCTATAATACTTCAGGAATGACATGCTCAGTGATCACTGAAAGAATGATTGCTCTAATCATAAATTGCACACACGTTTATTGAAGGAAGAAAAAAGCACAAATACATTACTCATCTGCAGGATTTGTCAAGAAAGAAAATAGTTAAACACAAACAAATATTGACCGAGCTTTCAAATTAAGGTGGAACAGTTATGATAATTAATTATGACGATCTGCCATGGGACTGCACATTTGAATTCATGCAAGCAAGCTGATTAGGTAATGTCATTCAACTAGCCGGCTTCTCTCAGTCCCTCAGTACAGAACAAGGATCCCACTATTATCATTCACTTCTGTTTTTCCTGTTCTTTGCGGATTTCAGTTCTGGGGATAAGCTTGAAAAGTTGGGTCTTATTTGCCAGGGTTGGTTGGAGAGTTCCTAATGGGGGTTATCAATATTATGGATGGTTTTGGTAGAGTAAATACACACTTCAATTGATTGCTGAGTTAGCACCAAGAGGACATTAATTGAAGATTATTGCCAAAGTAAAAAATGTGAATCAAAATTCAGCCTGGCTCATTTCCCTGAAGACTCTTATTATCTGATACATAATTCTCAGGATCATTCAATGGACTGATTTTTAATGTTACTAAAAGCTTTATCATTGTCAAACTAGCTCCTTAATAAGCCACTGTCCAATATGAGTTGTTGGTTTAATGGATGCAATGTAATCTCGAGCAGGAGGTTTAAATCAGACTGAATTGAAACTGTAATTCTATGAGCTCCACACCCAGTGAGCTCTTTTCCCAAATCCATTTTAATATTTTTCTTCAAGTATTTATCCAATTCCCTTTCAAATACCATATTCACTGTGTAAAAAATGATTGAAACCTTCTTAATCCTCAACTTGATACAGACAGAAATTCACCAAATAAAAGCATTAATATTACTACTCGTGCAACTGTAATTTCATTTAGTGCTGTATTAACAAAATAATGCAAACCTCAGCTGAAAGAAGTTGGTTCTCTGTGAGCCCATTTAATAATTTAATAAAAAAAAGCAACAAAATAATTTTTTATTAATCATTTGCAATGTTTACAGTTTGAACATTGGAATTCCTAAAGGATCAGTGGTGTTGATGTATTGATCACCACTAAGCATCTGGATAAATTTATAATTTAGATTACTATTAAAATTTTGTGTTGTCCACTATTATCAAGTATAAAAAGGCAAGTCGGGTCCTAGTGTTCAGTAGCAGCACTTTCTTGCGTTCATATTCCACCATCCTCATTATGAAGCCCAGCATTGTGCAATAACCTTTTTGATTCCTTTCTGGGCCTGTGATCTCGATTTTAATAGCTGATGTACTTGGATTCTTAAATCCCTTTACTTATCTTCTACCCTGCCATGTCCTTCCATATTTAGAATGCGTTCCGTTGCACAATTTCTATATTGTATTATCTCACACTTGGCTATAAAGAACTGGTATTGTATTGAAAATTTAAATTGTTAATATAGCCCTTTGTTCCTCTAAGTGAATTCTGGCTTGGCATTTTGTAGGATGAAGCTGGATTTCCATTCTGAACACAGGTTTAAGATTTTCACAATAGATGGCGCTAGGTATTGACACTGAGTACCCAAAAGAGACTTATCCCCAGCATAGATATCCCTCCCTTTCAACAGCACAAAAAACGCTATCTTCTAAATGACAAATATATAACATATAAACATTTTAGAAATTGTTATATATATTGGGGTCGGAATACTGTTGAGAAATAGAATAATGGTATACAGTACCTTGTTACATCTTTTTGTTTATCAGTGGCTACAGAGGGTATTGTAGATTTGTTCTTTGACCTTGATCTAACCATCTCTTCTGCCTGAAAGAAGCATTTCAGATTTTAGTTAGTGATATTAGTTACAATCCTCAAATTTGAATAATAAAATTTATGTTCATTTATTAATACTGTGGATAAGATTTACGAAGAATGTACAGCACGGAAACAAGCCACTAGACCAAACCAGTCTGTGCCGGTATTTTTACTCCACATGAGTCTCCATCCATTCCTTACTCCCTCCCATATCCTTCTATCCCCCTTCTATCCCTTGTGTGAAGGCTTAGCTTCCTCTTGAATCCATCTATACTATTTGATTCAATCATCGCTTCAGGCAGGGAGTTCCACAATATAACTATACTCTGCATGAAGCAGTTCCTCTTAAATTCTCTTTTATGTCCCCTAGTTGCTATCTTATACAGTACTTGTGTCCCCTGGTTACGGACTCCCCAACCAGTGGAAATTATTTATGCTTACCTTTTCAATCCCTTTTATAATTTTAAACATCTCAAAAATGTATTAGAAATGACCAAGTCAATAAAACGAATCGATATCTAAAAAAATATATTTTCTGAGGAGGAGCAAAAGAGACAATCATTTTGAAATGGATGAACCTGCAAGCTTACCCAATTCTAACATTAACCATTAGATCAATTTGAAACTGCACACCTTCAAAAGCGAGGACCTGCCTTGATCTAAAGAAAATATTAATATGAAATTGGCTGAACCTGTGAAGCAAACTGAAATTCTAACAAGTACTGAAGCAACATATAAGGCAGACCTGAATAAAATGCCAGAGGACCTAGCAATATTTGAACGATCGTGTCTTTTATGTATCCTTGCATTCAAAAGTGAAAAGAACCAACACAGTACAGAAAAGATATAATCCAATAAATTTTCCTGAATCAAAGTGCAAAAATGACAACCTCCTGTCATTGATCCACAAACTGGCTAAATCTGGCTATGCTTTCTATCATATTTTTCAGGAATGCCTTTGTGAATGCAGGATGCAAGATATGCAAGATATCATGGTCTATTTCAGCAACTTTCTACAATCAGCTGGACATTCATATGAAACGGTACACCCTCCATGAACATGCAGTGCTAAGGTGCCTGCCATAAACTGAATAGAAATCTGAAGCTCCAATACTTTGCTCAATAAGACAGATTTTTTCCTTTAGTTATCACCTCAATGCTAGTCTAATGGCTGCTACTGAAACACCTGAATGGTCAGCTATTAGGCAATCTCAATTCTTCAGTCATTTTGGACAGTTTCTGAATTACTTATGAGACATCCGTGGCCAGATGGACCAAAGTAATGAAAAAAGAAGAAACTGTTAAGAAATGGAGATTATATAATCATCACAAATTCAACAATAATGGAATTTTATACCTCCTTTTGGTAAAACAAGTATAAAAATAGTCCCTTAATATCAAAGGATCATCACATTGATTGAATTACTATACCATTTTCGTCTATATATGACAAGGGTATTTTTCATTCAGTACAGGCAGTGTAATTTTACCAGGTACTGCAACTTATTCTGTTGAGTGCCAGAAAAATAGAGATCATGTTTCTATTTTCACAGGAATTGACAGATAAATGATTACATTATTATGTGTTGCTAAATAAAGTGCAAGACCATTTTTCGCTTAAGAGCAAATTCTCCTACCTAACGATTTCAATAACTTTCATTTTAACTGTTCAAAACATTAAAATAAAGGAATATTGATTGACACTCTGAATTGCTTAGATGGGTTGGTATATCCACAACAGCTCTAAGCTTTGCTTGCCCATCACTTCATCCTCACCAGGCTCCACTGGCTCCCCCCCTCACTCCTCACTCATTCTGTGACCTCCGGCCTCATTCTCCTGCTCGCTCTTTCATCAGAAAACTTGGGCTGCTATGCATTCCTTACCCCCTCTGTCCTGGCTTTGGAAGCCAAGCCTTCAGTTACTTTGCTCCTAACCTCTGGAGCTTCCTCCCTAAATTCTTCCAACTCATCCCCGAAAAGTCTTTTAAAATCCTATCTCTTTGACCGTGCCTACTGTATCCATTATACTCAATATCCATCACCATCTCTGTAAAGAGCTTTGAGAAGTTAAGCTACATGAAAGGCATTATATAAGTGCAATGCTGTGCCTGCTTTTAATTGTATTAAAGGCTGTTATTTGTGTTACAGTATCTTTATAAATGATGCTCATGAAACATTTGTTTTTCAAAAACATTAAAAAAATACATTTGAATGAGTTCTTTGAAGAACTCCTTAGCACATTATTGTCTGATCTCTCAATTTAAAATTTCTTTAATTTTATCTTTTATTAATGTACAGCAAAATGTTTTACAGATTTACTCAAATAGGCACTTATAACTTCCAGTGAGTCCCAATTCTCAACAGAGCCACCATGAGGATGTAGTATAGTACTACATAGCATGATATTATAGTACAGTACAGAAACCTGTAGTGTATCTGGACATTAAGATGGGCTAACTTCTGCTGGGTATGAAGTAAAGTATATATCCCTTTAGATACAACAGCCAAGATCTCCAGTACTACAGATCTCTGTGAACACCAATGCCTGGAGGTGGCAGAATGACAGCAATTCAGATAATGTTGTTGGCCTGAGACCAATTTATTAACATCATGTTTTCACCCCAAGCACAAACCTGCATAGAAAGGTTCCCATAAGAATAAGACCTTCAAAGATAAGAGCCATCGAACTTGCTATGTACCTTTGGCATCTTGACAAGCAAATGCCCTGTAGTTTGGGACCTCTTGGCAAAACTGCTGTCAGGTTTAACTTCTGCTGGAAGTACCAGCTGAAAAGCCTGAAAAGAAATCAGATAAGAAAATCATATTTATATATTATGCTATTAAAATAACTTACTTGATTTGCTGCTATGTTCTTGATTAAAACGATAAATTAAGTTGATTTTCATATGTAAACTCCCGATACCTCGTCTCTCCAAGGGAAAAAGGCGCAATGATGGGTTACATGGAGTGGAGAGTTAGGCTTATGGGTAAATACATAAATAAATATGCCTTTTTCGGAAAACTTTCTGGAAAACTGATAGCTGCAAACAATTATGATCAGCGTTCTTTAATTTATTCCAATGATTCGCAATAGATTTTTAGCATGGGTTTAAGAGTCTATGCAATAAAGCCTGTAAGCCCGTGGAGGTGGATTGTCTGGTTGCCAAACCCCATCACACGAACATCTGGATTAGGCAGCTAGTGCTGAGTAAGCCAGGTATGCAGCAATGGTCTTGGACCTCGAGAACATCAAGGTGGCTGGCACATTGCAATCTGTCCTGTAAAGGTTTTCCCACCGCACTCAAGGCACATGTCCATCAGATAGCTGATGAAGAAACTCTTGAGGCTTGGGCACAGCTGATGGAAAGCGTTATCGAGAGTCTGACTTTGTGATCACCTTTGTACATCCAGCTCCTGGAATTCACCTTGATTGGTTTGCAGAGAGGTAACCAGCTGCTGATTAAACTTTTAATCTCCAATTGATGGAGCCATCGCTCAATGGGAAGGGATGTGTGATGCTGTGAGCAAGACGATGGTGGCAATGCGCTCATGTGATTCAAGCTCATGTTGCCCATCAGGAAGTTCTCTGGGAGTTCCTGGTACCTACCATCCATCTAGCGAGGGGTCAAAACCACACTTATCGGATGTCAAATAACCAACTAGTGACTATCCTCTTTTTTTTTTTTTTTTTTTTTTTGGGTGGGGGGGGGGGAGTAAGGAACTTGCCAAGGTTTCGCCCTGTGCCTAGTGACTGTCCTCTGGTAAGGAACTTGCCAAGGTTTCGCCTGTGCCTAGTGACTGTCCTCTGGGGGGGGGGGGGGGGAAACTGAACTGGCTGCAAGGTGACGTGCCTGCCAATGGAATGTCAGAATCGAGCCAACCATCTGTGGCGGTCTCGGTAGTCCAGTTCCTGAGCCAGGCAGGTCAGCAGTACTCCAGGGCTCTGCTGATGACAGCACAGACAGACTGGTTCACTGGCAGAACTTGAAGGGAAGACCAGTCATTGGGGGCAGGGGCTATTCCCACTCAGCTCCTGGTTAAACTCCAGCAGTACTCCAACATACACTCCATGCTTTGGGATACTGCTGGAGTCAGTACCTGGCTGACCAAAAAAAAGCATCAAACTGTTTGTAGTTTTTACAAGTTTACCAAAATGTTTGTTTTCTTGTGTAGTGATTGAAATAGGAGGGAGAAGTTTGCTGACATAGGATGCATCATAAGGAGATGATGGCTGGGAATTTAAGCAGCAAGTGACACATGTCCATTCCCTTATCAACTTCAAGATTCAAATGAGATCTCTGAATTCCAGCCTTTTGAAACCCTTTCCCCTTGAATGGTTGATAAGTATACCAGTATTGGTAATCTCTGGAACAACCTTGTCAAAGGGCACCTAATATGCCAGGTTGTGATTGGTTATGACACATCCCACTTGCTGGAAAAATGTATGGATCTTAGGGAATTAATTCAAGCGCACTAATGAAAAGAACATTCATTTCAGTTTACTCTTCAAATGTTTCAAAAACATACCTTTCCTTTAACCATCACTCGGACATATGTTGTTTGTATATCAATATCAAGTAGAGAGGTATCCAAGTATCTGTAGGATTAATTTTAAAAAGAGATTTGAACTAAAATATTATATAGTGCTTTGAAAAATATGTCCAGTGCTACAATGCTTGCCTTGTAGAAACTGTGTACAGTGTCGGTTTCAGGATAAAAGCAGTTTTAAGAAAACATCCAAATATATTTTTAATCTAATTGTTTAGACTAAAGTAAAACAAATGTGTCTGGGGAGACTAATAATCATTATCACTTATTTCAAAATATTTTGTAATAAATGTGTTGTCACACGTTCAATTCCAGCTATGAATTAATAATCTATGTTTGTGAAATCATTTTATGACCTTGGGCCACTTACAATTTTTCAGAATTTCTTCCCTGGTTTCCTGAACGTTTACAGAGCTAAGGTCAGCTCACTTCACTGCTAGTGTATCAGTATATGCAAGACTAAATCTGCATTCAACTGCATACAGTATAGTACGTGCCTACTATCACTGGTTGTGCATATTGCGTGAAGTAAATTTTAAGAGATAGGCAATGCAGCGGAACTAGAAAGGCATGATATTTGTAGATAGTCTGAAGTATAGCATGTTGGAGCATCAATATATGGTGGGATGAGGATTTATGAGTGTAATAACCCCACCCTGCTGAGGTTGACTTGGGGAAGCACCAAGAACATACAAGGTTCTTCCCTTGGAGACAATATTCATTTCTGGCCTGCCCTTATATATTCCTAATGGCAGTTTCTAAATGCCAACTCCAGAGCTGAGGAACCAGGCTGACATCTGCTTTCTTTGCAGTTGTTGCCCAGATGTATACTAAAAACATATATCTCAGTATACATCTGGGCATGTAAACACCTTTATCATATGAGAAAATAAATTTTGCTAAGGAAAATTAGATTTGGTTTTTCAGACTTGCGAAACAAGCAAGAGAGTTGCATTTCTGTGGATTTATTTACGTATGTAAATAGGAAGGTTGAAGCCAGCCAGAAATAAAACAGTCAGGAAGGGAAAGTCAGTAAAGAAAATATCAGAAATAAAGCAGCAAGAACTGCCATAATCTGGAGAAAGATTGAATAAGTGGGAAGGAAAACTGGAGTCAAGACAGAGATCATAGAGTCTGGATGAAAACTGGGGAGGAGATAATAATAATCATAATGATAATCCTTGCATTTCATATAGCACCTTATCACTTCATTGAATGTCTCAAAGCATTTCAAAGGAGATACTATAAAATGGTGTAAATATTTTGTGGACCAACATAGCAGCCAATTTGTGCTCGGCAATAACATACTGCTGCATTCCATAAATGATAGGTTCATTATTAAATCAGTAAAATTACACATTATTGGAAATGATTAACCACCTGGTACACTGCCAAACCATGTCATCCTTAGTGGTGATATACATGGAAATTTAGAGAAGTCTTGAGCTTGTAATATAAACCCACTGCTGTTCAATTTCAAATCATTTAGATGTGAAGTGAAAGAAAGCAAAACAGATAGTAGAACATTTCAGTATTTTTTTCTTACTTTATTACTTTACAATTTTTAAAAGTACAGATTTAAAGTACTGTCATTGTGAATGTCAAAGACTTCTCCAATTGCTCAATGTGGTCTTGGTTCATATGCAGTATTCTCTTTACATTTCCAATTCTTTTTATTTTCTCCCCATTTTTATACTTTCTTTGGACTTAATTAGTTTCCTAATGAAAGACAATGAGGAGTAAATGGAAGGACCTAAATAGTGAAGAGGAATAAAACACAACTCGGAAGGGAACTGACCACATTTTCTAACCACTTATATTGTTCTGCAGTATAACAACAACAACAAGATTCCATTTATAGAGCGCCTTTCACGTTGGGAGGACGTAAATAAGTAAAGAAACAAGTTTATTTCATCCTAGTTTCTTCCAAATAAGTTGCATAAGCAAATTAATCCCTGATGATGACAAATATTTCCTTGTATCATGCAGCACATTTGCGCAAATGAACTCTATGGAATCAATTTCAGTATCTGTTTGCATTCTTATCTGGAACCTAGTATTTTTCCTGGTACCCAGGAATATACAAATTGTCTGCACCATCCAATCAAGTGTGTCAAATTTAAATGACTATTTCAATACCCTTCAACAGCTTAGCAACTTAAATAAAATAACTCCCATTAATATTCAAAGTATTTATCTCCAGACACCAGATTTTCACACATGCATTGATAGGTTAAATTGTTAAAAGATGTAGATGGCTAACCTTTCTCCCATTTTGAGGCACTGTGCAATTACTATCTGGGAATCTCCTGAGAAAGGAACCGTAATGACTGCGTAAATACTGTGGATTACCTTATTTTGCCAAGTTCCTGAAGTAATAGTAATAATACTTGCATTTGATATAGCGCTTTTCACGTCTTATAGACGTCTCAAGGTGCTTCACAGAAGACCGTAAAGTGAATTGACTGTATATTTGTTATAATACCTGTATATGTTAGTAATAACAACAAATTGTGATGCACTCATAACCACTAACAGAACAAACTTATTATGCTGATGTGCTATGGAACTGCACCACTAGATACACAGTACATCCAGCATCCAGTGCTAACATGTCAGCTTCCTATGCTAATGGGACTGTAATGAACACTAAAGGGAGTTTCTCCACGTGTCTTGGCTAATAATCCCTCAGATAACATTGGTCATTCACTCATGGTTGTTTGTAGGATATTCATTTGTCTAAATTATTGGCTGCAATGTTTGCCTGCAAATAGGGAGACACTAAACTTTACAGTATCCAAATTAGATTGAGATCCTAACATATCAAAATTTCTATATCTGGAATGGAATGTGCACACTCTCCCCAAGGGCTAGCCTGTTTTATCTAATTTCAAAGATTATTAGGTGCTGGTTGGCAAGAACCAAGGCTTGGAACCCAAAGGGTGTATTGAGGTGCTGCTGGAGTTTAACCAGCTAAAAATTCATTGTTTGCCATTGACATCTTTTATAAATTAGTAAAACTTCAACCCCAGACAACAACATCCGGATGATTAAATGTATTCAATGACTGCATCATGAAATAAAGCTGACCTGTAAACAGCAAGATCTAAGACAATTTGATTATTTTCCTCATCATCAGTCAATGTGAAATCAATCCTGTAAAGCAAAAACAAGTTAATACTTTCAACGTTGAGTGGAATCCTTCCACAACGAAAGACTTCAGCAACCAAGACAGCAGTGATTTCCTCAGCTAGTGAATTTATAACTTTGATGGGCATTTTACAAAATAAATATATTGAAGAAAATTCATTTTGTATCTATTCTAAAAGAACACACAAAATTAAATCTGTGCAGACCAACATGATAATCGAAAGCTTTGCTGGCACATCATTTTCCTGGCAAAATTCTTTACTCACAAGGGTAATCAATAATTGCATTTTGCCAGGAAAGGTGGTTGAGGCCAGGACACTAATTTAAAAAGCAGTGTGATGCTATAATGGAACATTATTATAATGCAGTGGGATGGGTGTTCTGGAAAGGTGAGATTTGATCAGCCAAAGGGCCTTCTTCATCCAAATCAACCTTATGACTGTGTGTGATCTTGTGAATGTTAAGATGATGGAAGGTGATTGTGATATGACTCCGTCATTGAAATGATCCATGATATTCAACACACTGGCAGGGTAAGCCTCAGTGGTAATATCAACAACAACATTAACAAGATTCCATTTATAGAGCGCCTTTCACGTCGGGAGGACGTCCCAAGGCACTGTACAGTTGGGTCAGGACCCGAGCAAGGGGGAAATGGTGAGGGGAGGGAAGGGAGGGAGCAAGGAGGGGGTAGAGAGTCGAGAGGGGAGCTGAAGGCTCGGTCAAAGAGAAAGGTCTTGAGACGGGTCTTGAAGGAGGAAAGGGAGGAGGCGGCGAAGGCACTGGGGGATAGAGTTCCAGAGCCTAGGGGCTGAGAGGCTGAAGGCCCGGCCACCGATGGTAGGGCGGTTGGGGCGGGGGATGTGGAGCAGACCGGAGCCAGAGGAACGGAGGGTACGGGCAGGTAGGTAGGGGGATAGTAGGTCGGAGAGGTAGGAGGGAGCAAGGCCGTGAATGGCCTTGTAGGTGAGGATGAGGATCTTGAATTCGATCCTCTGGGGGATGGGGAGCCAGTGGAGGCGAGCGAGGGTGGGAGTGATGTGGTCGCGAAGCCTGGTGCGGGACAGTACACGAGCTGCAGAGTTCTGAATGACCTGCAGCTTGTGGAGGGAGGTGCCGGGAAGGCCGGCGAGGAGAGAGTTCCCATAGTCCAGCCTTGAGGTGATAAAGGCGTGGACCAGAGTTTCAGCAGCGTGAGGGGTGAGGTAGTGCCGTAGTCTGGCGATGTTCCGGAGGTGATGGAAGGCGGTGCCAGTTGTGGCGCAGATATGAGGGAGAAAGGACAGCTCAGGGTCGAACAGAACACCGAGGTTCCTGACTGGCTTTGAGAGGTGGAGAGTGCAGCCTTGGATGCTGATGCTGTCAGCGCCTGAGGTGCGGAGGCGCTGACGTGAGCCAATCAGGAGGGCCTCAGTTTTGCGCACGTTGAGCTGAAGAAAGTTGTCTCTCGTCCAGGACTCGATGTCGGACAGGCAGCTGTCAGGACATCGGTGGTCGTGGAGTTGAGGGTAGAGGAGGAAAGGTAGAGTTGGGTGTCATCCGCATACATGTGGAAGTTAACCCCATGTCTGCGGATGATGTCACCAAGGGGGAGCATATAGAGGGTGAAGAGGAGGGGACCGAGGACAGAGCCCTGAGGGACACCGCACGAGACAGTGCGGGGGCTGGAGGAAAAGCCGTTCGTGGAAACAAAGTGAAGACGGTGGGAGAGGTACGACCTAAACCACTCAAGGACAGGGCCTTGAAGGTTGAGGTGGGAGGACAAGCGGTGGAGGAGGATAGCATGGTCGACCGTATCGAATGCTGCCGATAGGTCGAGGAGGACGAGGAGGCAGAGGGAGCCCTGGTCACAGATGGTCAGGATGTCATTGGTGACCTTGACCAGGGCAGTTTCTGTGCTATGGGCAGCACGGAAACCCGACTGAAGGGGTTCGAATAATGAATGGGTGGAGAGGAAAGAGCGCAGCTGGGAGGCGACAACTCTTTCAAGGACCTTGGACAGGAAGGGGAGGTTGGAGATGGGCCGGTAGCTTGATAGCTGCGACGCATCAAGGGAGGGTTTTTTCAAGGTGGGAGTGATGGTGGCAGTTTTTAAGGGAATGGGAACAGAGCCAGAGGAGAGGGACAGGTTGACGATGTCTGTGATATGTGGGGCAAGGAGGTGGAGCTGGGAGATAAGGAGTGGAGTGGGGATGGGGTCAAGGGAGCAGGTGGTGGGTTTCAGGGATAGGATGAGTTTGGTGACAGAGGGTGGGGAAACGGGTACGAAAGTGTGTAGGGGAGGATGGTTAAGAGTCGGAGTGTGGGAGGGAGGGGGTGGGGGGTGGGTGGAGGTTGGAGGGGAAGTGACCGCAGAGCGGATTCCCTTGATTTTGGATTCAAGGAAATCCAGTATCTCCTCAGAGTGAAGGTTGGAGGAGATGACCTGCGCGGGGTGGCGGGGGGGACGGAGGAGTCGGGATGTGGTAGAAAACAGAAGCCTGGGGTTGTTCTTCACCTCCAGAATTATCCTGGAGTAGAAGGACGACTTGGCTGAGGCTAGAGTGGAGCGGTAGATTTTGAGGAGGTCCAGCCAGATTTGTCGGTGGACCGTTAGGCCAGATTTGAGGCAGATGCGTTCAGCAGCCCGCACCTGGCTCTTCAGTGAGTGGAGGTGGGTGGTGAACCAGGGGGAGGAGCGAGAGTAGGAGACAGTATGGGAGGTGATGGGGGCAAGAGTATCGAGTGTGGAGCACAGGGTGTTGTGGAGGAGGGTGAGAGGAGAAGAGGATCAGTGAGGGTTGAAGGCCAGAGGGAGAGGAGTTCAGAGGACTCCAAGGCAGTGGTTAGGGATCACCAATGACAATGATTACATTGCACAAAAAAACACTTCGTAAAACTATACAAGGAAGCAAATTAAATGGAAACAGACTATAAAGCAGGACACTAAAGTATAAAATTGAACCAGAAAAAGAATGAACATCAAATAGAACAGCTTCTGCAGGGTCCCCACTGTTTTCAAGGCCAAAGAGCCCAACTTATCTTGTCATTCTTCTTAAGTTATCATATGGAAACCCAAACTGTATGTACTGCTCCAGTTGTGACAAATCACTATACCGTTTGATCACTTTCATTGGAGTTTGAATTCTGCAGAATTTGTACTCATGTGATTCAGCAAATTGTCTGTCCCATATTCTCGTCACTTTGTTCATTGCTCATGCCAACCTTTTTGGATGTTATGAGATAAATAATATAACTACAGTTAACGGTTAGAAATTCAGAAAAAATAAAACCTGTAACATAAGATCAGCTCATGCTAAAAAATAATAATAATCCTTGATTTTGATATAGAGCCTTATCACGTCGTTGAGACATCTCAAAGCGCTTCACAGAATATATTGTAAAGTGGATTGACAGCGTATCTTACTAGTCGATCTCTACTATCAAAAGAGCTTATTAACCTTAGATATGGCCACTGAATATCTAATATCTAAACGTTTGTTTAGTTTGCTAAATTAGTATTTTTTAAGTAAAAATCTATTTAAAAAATGCTTATAGAGAAAAATGGCAATCACGCTACTTGTGGAATGAGTTCTAATCTGAAATAAAGTGTCAGAGTTGCTTATAGTTACAGTATAAACAGTCAACAATACATAGTTACACAATAATATACACACTTTGTACACTGTTATATTAAATTAACCTATAAATTTTATCAGAGATACAAATCTTGCATTTAGACATTTAGAATAACATTTTCACATACTTCGGCTCATTGACATTCAGGACACGTCCTTCAGCATTGATCAGCATTCGTTGAGGTTTTTGTTTCTTATCTCTGTAATGATAAATATTTAAGACATTCTAATCAATAGAAGAATTATATGAATCAAATAAAATACAATAAATAGCAGTACAAAATAATCTAAAAATAACCAATGTAGTTTGTTTTCTCCTACATCCTTCTTGAAGGTGGTGTCTGCTACAAGTATTTAAATTCAAATGCACTAGCAAGCATTTGGTAATTTACCAACATGTTCACGTTTGAGCCTAGAAAGACAGTAAGCGTCTGGCATACTATTTGGCCAGGCAGCATCGCCATTAAATCCAATATTGTCTGTACTGGACATTGACACACACACACACACTTTATATCAAGTAGTAATCAATAGCATTGGGAGCTCTGTGCATTTTACCCTCTCTCAGCTTCATTGATCGATTTCAAGATCCTCACCCTTGTATTCAAGTCCCTGCACTCCTCTGCACCACCCCTACCTCTCTGACCTCCTCTCTCCTCAAAACAGTACCCGTTGCCTTTGTTGCTCCGGGTCTGGCCTCCTCCTCACCCCCAAGTCCTCCGCTCCACCCTCGGTGGTCATGCCTTCAGCCACTAAGTCCCGAAGCACTGAAACTGCCTTCCTCACTCCCTTCGTCTCGCTCCCTCCCTTCCCATTTTCAGGTCTCTGCTGAAGATCTTTCTTTTCGACCGCGCCTTTGGTCACCTTCCTCCCCCTCCCCCTGGCTCGGTCCCGGGATCCGTTATTGTAAAGCGCTCTGAGATGCCGTCCGGCGTGGAGGGCGCTAAATAAATCCAAGTTGTTGTCCTCAATGTCTCATTGAGGACAATATTCAGGCACAAATTGACTGCTGCATTTGTCCACAAAACACAGTCATGACACTTTACACTATATATACTGTGAAGCACTTTGAGAGGTCCCCCTGACATGAAAGGCGATATACCAAATGTAAGCATTATTATTACAATTTTTATTGCCTCACTGCAATCAAGACTGCAATTTGTTACAATACAATATTAATTTACAATGCAGAATTGGAATAGCTAACCCTGTAGAAGAGTATTTAATTATTTTATTATGGTCAGCCAGGCATCTGACACATACAAAACCCATCACCATGCTTGAGTATAAATTTAATAATTATTTGTTAATTATGTTTACTTGTTCTCTTCTTTGATTTTGCGCTTCTCTTCAAGGTATCTGTGAGTCTCCAGTCTAGATTCAGGGGTGAAAGCTGTAGGCTCCTCCCAGAATGACTTGTTCATTTCGTCTTCATCTATAACCTTGTGGTCTTGTTCCTCTTCACTATGGCCATTGTTTTGCTTATCCTTTGTGTTCTTTCCATGGTCAGATCTACTCAAAAAATAAAAATAGGAGACATAAGGCCCAAAGCGTCACCCAGTTTTAGCCTTTGAAACCATTACAAGCTCAAATTTAATATCACTCAGAAAGTTGAAAAGGTCTTAAATTCAGTCTTAATTTGATAGGAGGCTTTTCAGTCAGTCAGAAGGAGATGAAAGAATTTTTCAAACTGAAACTTTAAGAACAAAACATTCAAGCTACATAAAAGACCTTTTATATGCTAGGGATATAAAATAAAAGGGTTTCTAAAATTAAGGATAAGTGAGTTGCTAATAAAATGTCTAGATATAGAAATTTGGGGGAGACAACATGTTCACAACTGAAAAAATTAAATAAAAAGCTACTGAAATTGTAATGTGTCTTAAGAGATTTGATGCAGTAATTTTAAGATGGAATCTGTTAAAACCAATGTATTTTCCCTCTCCTATTTCTTAAAATTACAAATGAACCACAGTTTTACATACATGGTATTGATATCAGTGTACCAACGTCCATCAAAGCCAGGCTTTCGTTTTTCTTCAGCTTTCTCTTTATTGCCTTTCTTTTCTAAGTACTTCTGTGCTTCTTTTTTTTCTCTGGCTCGCTTTAAGAGATATGCTTGTTGTTGTTCTAAAACTTGTCGTCGCACTTCTGGGTAATCTTGCAGTGCCTGAATCTGTTCAGAGCGGTCTATTTCCTTCCCATCTAACTGCTGTAGTCCAAGAAACAAAAAGAATTCCATGTTCAATAACTTGCTTTGAAACTGGAAGTTGGACTTCAGGTAAAATATGAAAGACCACACCAATTATAAAAAGATAATGCGATTTCCTGGTAATATACAGTGGTTAATTACATTTTCAGACCCTATCTTACTCATTCTTCCAATCGTACAACTCTGTTCTGCACAACCATATTATGGATAAACTACAGATTATGTAGCAAAAAAATCTAAAAGTGAGTTTAAATAATAATTTAGTATTTCAATTAGACGGACATACACACATCTTTTGACCTTCAGCCTCTTCATTTAACTGCTTAAATGAATCACTGCCTTGTAACTCTAGTACAATAAATTCTAATTTCTTCAGTCCAGTAACATTAACAATATTTGCCAGGCCTATTAGATGTGACTCCTCCAGTCCTATCCCTATAGTCAACTATTGCCACACATCTGTCATTTGTCAAGCTAACCCTACTAGCCACATAAATGCTGGATCCATATCCAAGCATCCTAATTTTGTGTGTAGACAACCACCTAGACAAGTATCAATGTTAATAATTAATGTTAACCAAAAGGTGCATTATGATACCAATGAATGTTGGATCCGCAACACCTATATTTGAAAGGGAACACAATGACCCTCTATCTAGGGAGGTCCCTTCACTCTTTGGCAACTCCCTACATCTCCAACCTCCTCACTCCCCAATCCACCACCCGGTGCCTCCACTCAATTGGCACTGTCCTCCTGCTCAATCCCATCATCGGAGGTCACGCTTTCACGCACTACGCCCCGAAACTCTGGAATGCTCTCCCTCAGTCACAGCCTTGCCCCCTCTCTACCCATTTTCATGTCCCACCTGAAAACCTTCCTCTTTGACCGTGCTTACGGCCACCTCCCACACCGGCTTGGAGTCAGGCTCCGCCATTGTTAAGTGCTTTGAAATGCTACCCCGCTGGAGGCCACTATATAAGTGCAAGTTGCTGTTGTTATCTACCTTTAGCTGTGGGAGTGTAGCAATAACAAACTGCCTGTAGCCTTCAAACTCCGTACAGGGATTTCCCATCAGAAATAGTTCTTTCAGATGTACATTGTGTTTCAGCGACGCCACACTGGTCAATTCTCCCACAAAATTAATAGTTAGGTCCAGTTTGTTCAAAAACTCGCAGCCTGCCATGAATAAAAGAAACAAGAAACCACATTAATCTTTCGAGTCTTGCCAATTTTATACCTTTTTTTGTATTGTAGCTAAAATAGACATTACAATATTAAGCTGGATAAATAAGTTGAATGTAAAATCCAATCTCATTTAAATATTTGAGTCATTCATAAAACTTTTATTGCAAATCATCTGAAACTTTCAATTGTCCTCTTATTACTGTGGTTACTTTTTCAGCATTTGAACATCTTCCCTCCAAGTTTGTAAAGATCACAGGGCAATGGGTTTTCTACTGCCCAGGAAAAACATTTTTACTTCCAAGACAAAAACGAGCTATGTTAAAGTGATTGAATATCCACTTTTACAAGGTATTGTAGCCATTTTTTTCATTCATTTTTCTCTGGCAGTAGAAGTAAGAGTAGTTTTCACTGCCACCGCAGGTCAAAAGCATCACTTACCCTTCATCTTAAGATGTACACTGTTCCTATTTTAAACCATAGCTTTTCTTCTCCACAGTTAATGTTCAAAGATCAGTTAATGACTCCAAATGCCTGCCAGCACTGTAAATCTATCACTGCCAAACAGGCATCAACTAAAGATACTTTGGATGATACCATTCGCAAATTGTATTCATATACTATTCTTTATCAAGATGAAGGTATGTCCACCTTTCATAGAATTAGTACCCATGTTGAGCTGCAGGGAAAGGCTATTAGTTTGAATTAGTCTGATGTCTCTATTGCTGTATCAAGCATGCAGTTTCATAATGTCTAGAGCTTTTCTTTTGCTATTGATCAGTCCATGCGAAACATTTCCCTCCTGCCACACCAAGTTTCACAAAACAAACATGCCTTTCAATTTAACGTAAATAGAAAATGATATCCAGTCTGAGTAGTTCTAAAGATTAAATTTTATTGCAATTCAAAATTAGAAACAAAAATAGAACTACCACTTAGTAAATTGCAGATCCATAGGGAACGCTATTGTACCAACGCCAGCATGATTGGAAACTGATAAACAGGATAAACATCAACATGAGGCTGTTGAATGGAGAAGTGATAACAACAACAAGAACTTGTATTTATATAGCACCCCTCACATGGGATAGAACCCAGAGCGCTTGATAAGAGAATAAACTCACACGTTCCAGCACCTTGTCATCAAGATTTAGGTGTCAATTTGACTCCGATGGTACCACTTTGATCTCAGTCTGTGACACAGACAATAGGATACTTAGTCCAGGTGGACACTCCAGCGCAGACAACAATTTGCACAAAAGAGTGAAGCCCTGTTATCAGGTGCTTCATTACAGCATGAATTCAATTATATTGCAGTTGCAGAGTGGACCATAGTCATTGGGCATGTACACAGCCAGCCTATTCACATCTCGTAGTCAGCTGGCTTTCAAGCCATTAGTTCGTTGGTTCATTAGTCTCCACTCCCACTCAGCCTTTGTAAACAGCTTTGAGAAGTTCTCCCAACATGATCGGCACTGTACAAGGGTAAACTGTTGCTGCTGTTGTTGATGTTAAAGATCTCACTGCACAAAGTAGGAAATTTACCCAGTGTTACAACATACTTTGTCTCCCCTTTTCAACAATATACTATGATCATTGCGTTTCTCTCAAGCTGTCCCGGCATTCTCTTACTCCACCCAAAAGACATAAAGACTTAACGGAAAGAAAATCATTATTTTTAAAGAGCAGATAAACTGTCCTGCTTCAATTCATTCTCTTTACTCTACAAGCTTATCATGTAATCATTTTTTCTTGATGTTTCTAGTTTTCAGTGAGGGCAATACTATTCACCTTTAATTGTGCTACAATATTAGCCTTGGCTCTTCATTGGGTTTCTCAATATAAAAAAGGTATAATTTGTTTTAACATTTTAGAAGAGCAAGAATTACTTATTTCAAATTTATTTTACTATATGATGTCCACAAAGTCCTGTTACCCCATGTTTTTTTGTAGAGTGCACTGACCAACAACTGAAACATAATGAAAGAATTATGATCACTGTATTTAGAAGTACTTAATTGTATTCAGCACAAGTGTTTAACTGTACTTAGACTTCCAGACATCCAGAGGATTGGTGTGATTGCAATCATTTTCATGACAGATAATGATCCGTCGCTATGTTCAGTATGATATCTTCCGTAACATGGATGGAGTGACGAGGCAAAATGCCACCTTGTTTCAGCTCCTCCGTAGTCTCATATCACTGTTTTGTAATGGGGTAAAAGGACTTTGTGAACACACTGTACATTGAAGTAAAATTGTACTCAAATCTAGAAACTGTACATTAATAGAGAAAAATTATATAGCTGCAATTATAGTTTTGTTCAGATCTGAAGGTGCCTATTAATAATAATAATAATCCTTTCATTTGATATAGCGCTTTTCACTTCTTCTAGACGTTTCAAAGTACTTCACAGGATAGACTGTAAAGTGAATTGACTGTATATTTGTTGGCGAAACACGGCAGCCAATTGCGCACAGCAGTTTCCCACAAACAGTCTTGAATTGAAATGACCAATTTATAATTTTTTTTCTTGAGGGATTATTATCAGGCGTGTGGAGTAAGGAAACTTACCCAAGGTTTGCTGGTAATGCAATCGAACCCAGGTCTCTCGCTTGCAAAATATACAATAGTAAGCACCTGAATGGTTATGGTTGACTTACCTTCTAAATTTTCTATGCACTCGATGTTGTTTAAAGCTAGATTGAGGTATTCTAGTTTCTTCAATTTACCAAGATTCTCTGTAAAATAAACAAAATCCTAATAACATAAGGCAGTCAACTGTGTCACCTAAGAAATTATCAAAGCTCAAATCCATTAGGTGAAGTACAGGAAACTAATTTACAACCATAGAAATGTACTCGCAGCAAAGTGCAAAAATGGAATCAAAGCCTTTAGGAGAGAGGAGAAAAGTTATGTAAAATCTATAGTAATATTTTTAAATCAATGTGCTTTTTTAATTATGCAATGTTGATGGTGAGAAGAGTATTTAGTCCACAATAGCGCAACTTTTGGTGAAATGTCTGAATTGTGTTGAATTATACTGCTTACCAAGTAGTGCAGAATCTAGCCATCTCCAAAATGAACAAATATTTCTGTTTTCCAACACCTATTGGTGATCCTTTTTTGTTTTCAACTGTTAAAATTCCACAGATTAAAATATATGATTTTAATTGAAATTAAAATAAATAAATTAGTGTTGGTAAAAGCCTACAGCACCTGGCATTCCCAGGCGGTCTCCCATCCAAGTACTAACCAGGCCTGACCCTGCTTCGCTTCCGAGATCAGACGAGATCGGGCGTGTTCAGGGTAGTATGACCGTAGACATTGGAGCATCACAATTAACAACACTTAAACCACTACAGCTTCTGGGTCTAAGTGAGGGCAGATTTTTTATTGCAACTTTGGCCATAAATAATATAACAACAACAACAAATTACATTTGCATAGGGACCTTTCCCATCAGGAGCATGTACCAAGGCGCTGGAATACAACTTCATCTTAATCAAAACATCTGCTCATTTCAGCTCTAATGCAATATATCTAGCAATGCTTTTTGCCTCTTTTCAAATTGTGTCATGGGATCTTTAACGTCCACCGGACAGAAAATAGACAGATGGCACCTTGGGTTAACAATCCACCTCAAAGATGAAGATAATGCAACACTCCCCCCAATTGAACAACAAAGTTATGCTTATTTGTATAATTCCTTTCACGTCGGGAGGATGTCCAAAAGCGCTGGATAGTCAGTGTTTCAGACCCGAGCTGGGTGTTGTGATCGTGGAGGGTGGAGGGCCAGGGAGAAGCAGGAGGATCGAAAGCACCGTCGAAGAGAAGGGTCTTGAGATGGAATTTGAAGGTGGCAAGGGAGGGGGCGAGGTGATGGGACTGCGGGATGGAGTTCCAGAGGGTAGGATCCCATGCATTATCTTCATCTTTGAGGAGGATTGTTAACCCAATGCCTGCCCGCCAATAGTGGGGTGAGAGAGGCGGGGGATGTGAAGCTCGCCGGAGCCCGCTGAGCATAGGGAGTAAGCAGGATGGTAGGGGGTTAAGAGGTTGCAGAGGTAGGGGGAAGCAAGGCCTTGGAGGGTTTTGAACGTGAGGATCAAGATCTTGAACTGTATCCTCTGTGATAGGAAACCAGTGGAGTCGGGCGAGGATGGAGGGGATAAGGTCACAGAGCCTGGTGCGGGAGAGGGCACGGGCTGCAGAGTTCTGGATGATCTGTAGCCTACGGAGGGAAGAGTTGAGGAGGCCGACAAACAAGCCGAAGCCCGACAAACAAGTTGGAGCCCGCTGAGCAGAGGGAGCGGACAAGAACAATACAATACAATCTTTCATTTATAAAGCATCTTTCACATTGGGAGGATGTCCAAAGATGCTTAGCAATACTGGCCTGGCACCCGAGCTGGGGTGGCAGCTGAGAAAGGTGGGGAGGATGTAGAGGCACGTCTTGAGACAGCCCATAAATGCGGTGAGAGAGGGAGCGAGTGCACACTATACTGCCCTAGAGTATCAAATTGAAACACGGAGATTAAACCAACAACTCTCCGATTCAGGGTAATCTAGGGTGAGATCCAAAGCATCACTCTATAAACTTTCTCAGTAAACCAGCCAGACTTACCAAGTTTAGGAATCAGGTTATTTTGGAAATAGAGGATTTTTAGATCTCTGCACCATCTGTCAATGTGTTCGATTTTCTCAATATCTTGCTGGTGCAAAGAAATTTCTTCTAATGTAGATATCTCACAGTTATTGTGTTCTGATCGTTGTCTCACCAGATCTTCTGTAACTGTAAAACATTATCATAAAATCATAGAATTATACAGCACAGAAGGCCATTCGAAAACAGGTTTCACTGAATTTCCATTTCAGAATGCTTTCCATGTAATTAACTGTAGGAATTCATGTACAATTGTTTAGGATGTTGAATGTATTAAACGTGAGTAAATAAAAAAGTTTAGGATCTGTACAGTGGAATCAGTTAAATTATAATTAGTGATTGCATTTATACTGAACAACATTTCAGTGCATTGATGAGTTACATATAATACATGATTTCTATTTTGTGATTGAGAACAGGACAATAGGACTAAAGTTTGCATTCAATTTGCCAAACAAATCACAATGTTTGTGAGTTTAATAGATGCTGAGATGGAGGATTAAATAAGATTCTTGACTATCAAAGCTCATACATAAAGCTTCTTGATTTTTTAAAAAATAATAATAATCCTTGCATTTCATATAGCATTTTTCACATCTTATAGATGGCTCAAAGCGCTTCACAGAATATACTGTAAAGTGAATTGACTGTATAGTATATGTGTGGGCGAACGCGGCAGCCAATTTCGCACAGCAGTGTCCCACAAACAGTCATAGATTGAAAATGACCAATTTATTATTGTTTTTGTTTTAAGACTTCACAACTGATCCACAAGGGAACAATTACATATTTTTTGGTCCGTAGGGTGTCCGTCATCTGTACAAACCCACGGCCATACTTCAGAGTATCCAAACCAGATATATCCACCTTGGGGGGGGGGGAGGTAAGTGGGGTCACCTTGGAGTTGAACTGACTTGAAGGTGACATATTGGATAATGTAAGGTCAGAATTGAGCCAACGCTCATCATGATATGAAGTGAATTTGACTGGAATTCCAGCTTAAATGAAAAGAAATGTTGTATGTGGGTTGAAATTGAGTTTTTCTCCATGTCTGGTGTTGGTTGAAAGAAAAAGCCTACAGCACCTGGTATTCCCAGGCGGTCTCCCATCCAAGTACTAACCAGGCCTGACCCTGCTTAGCTTCCGAGATCAGACGAGATCGGGCGTGTTCAGGGTAGTATGGCCGTAGGCATCCGAGCATCAGAATTGACAACACTTAAACCACTACAGCTTCTGGGTCCAAGTAAATGTAGCGCCTCTTGCTCTGTCTCCACTGACTTCTCTCTCCTCAAACAACCTCTCCCTCTACATCCACTCTGTCACCACGTCCATGGCCACCCCATGACCTGGTGAATACCCAGGGCATGATTATCTCGGACATCACCATCACTGACAGCGCCGTCTCGGACCATTACTTAATCTCCTTAACTCCACAATCACAAACTCGAAATTCAAGGATTGGTGCTTGTCCTCCTATTGGGCAACCGAGTGGAGAATCTTATTGTACCATAAAAAGGCACTAATTACATCAGGTAATAGAGTATAATAATAAATAATAATAATAATCCTTGCATTTGATATAGCGCTTTTCACGTCGGGAGGACGTCCCAAAGCGCTTCACAGAACACACTACAATTCCCATTGGGTGCCCTAATTCGGGGAGGGGCTCAATGCCCGTAAAAGAACAAGCGCCACGTGCTCATGGTCGCTATTTTTTGACCTGATAACAACAAACGTACGTGCTCTGCCTATTGACGAGCAGTAATCAGAGGTTGGTTCTTTGTGCACTTTTACATTAACCTGATTACAAGTGGCTGCTATATGTAGTATTAGTTTGACAAATGTTTGTTATCTCATAGTTGCTGTTTGTTGATACTTATCATGTTGTTTAAGATTTAATTCCGAGAGTTGTGGATTTCATTGAAGCTACAATGAAATTCCATAAGAACATAAGAAATGCTAGAGGAAAAAAGACCAAGGTCCATCGAGTTCATCTTCCATCTTCCTGGCGGTCACATGCACATATGTACTATATCCCACAATGTTATTTCCTAAAAGAACACTATCTAATCTGTATTTGAAAAAATCAACACTTCCAGCTTCAACTGACTGCCTAGGGAGCCTGTCCACAGGTTCACTATTCGCTCACTGGAATAGTGAGTTTTACTTAAGTTTACTGAGCTGTGGTTACTCAAGCTTTCTGTATAAAACAAAGGAGAGAATACACAAAGAGGTTCAGCCTAGGTCACAGAGGTGTAAAATAAACATCTGATTGACTGAAGCTTCCCAATTTGGTTTAATTTAAATAGCAATTGGTAGTGCCTTTTGATGTGGAAGAACTCATTAGTCAAATTGCACATAGTTATAGGGATTTGCATTCATCAGTGAGGATGGAACACCCAGGTAACTCTGTGAGGGGGAGCCATATTGTGGGTGTACATATTGTGGGTGTACATATAGAGGTGAAGAACCATCTCATTCCGACCTGCTCCATGTCCTCCTCGCCCAACAATCGGTGGTCGGGCCATCAGCTTCACCGCCCCCACACTTTGGTACTCCAACCCTTCAATTCCCTCCCTCCCTTGCCTCCTTCAAGGCACGTCTCAAGATCCTTCTCTTCGACCGTGCATGACGTTCAGCCAGGAAGAGCGAGGAAATAAGATGTGGAACTTATAATATACACAAAATATACAGTCAATTCATTTTACAATATATTCTGTGAAGCACTTTGAGACGTCTCGAACACGTGATGAAGCGCTATATCAAATGCAAGATTTTTTATTATCAACTTGTCTTTCATTCATAGCAAAAACAAACAAACATACAGAAAGATTTAGGTCAAATACCACCTTAAATGAAAAGAAACACTTCATGTTGGTTTAAGTTTAGTTTTTCTCAATGATTAAAAAAAGCCTACAGCACCTGGTATTCCCAGGCGGTCTCCCATCCAAGTACTAACCAGGCCTGACCCTGCTTAGCTTCCGAGATCAGACGAGATCGGGCGTGTTCAGGGTAGTATGGCCGTAGGCATTAGAGCATCAGAATTGACAACACTTAAACCACTACAGCTTCTGGGTCCAAGTAAATGTAGCGCCTCTTGCTCTGTCTCCACTGACTTCTCTCTCCTCAAACAACCTCTCCCTCTACATCCACCCACGTTCATGGCCACCCCCTTGACCTGGTGATTAGCCGGGGCCTCAGGATCTCGGACCTCACCATCACCGACAGAGCCATCTTGGACCATTACTTTATCTTATCTTACGTAACTCCACCATCACCACACAATCCATCTCCTTCTGCAACAGGAAATAAATCTCCCAGCACTCCCTCTCTGCTGCCCTGGAGTCATCTGAATTCGTCCCCTCTGGGCTTCCACCTGCACAGACGGATCCACCTTGATCACTCTCCTCCACAATCCCCTCTCCACCACTCTCGAACCCCTTGCGCCCTCTCCTCACCTCCCGAACCACCTCCTACTCACACAACCCACCCTGGTACACCAGCCACCTCCACTCCCTCAAGTCACACGTGTTGCCACCCAACGCCCGTGGCTCAAATCGAATGTAATGGTCCGTTGACGGATCTGGCTGGACCACATCAAAACATACCGCCTCTGCCGTCACCTCCAGCAAATCATCCTTCTGGTCCAAAATAATCTTGGAGGCCAAGGACAACCCCAGGCTTCTCGTCTCCACCACCAACCTTCTAACTCCTCGCCCATCTCGCCTCCAATGCCAACAGCCAGGAAATGCTGGACTTCCTCAAAACCAAAATCAAGAGGATCCACTCAGCTGCCTTTGCCCTCCCAACCGCGAGCACTTCCACATCCCTTCCTCCACACCTTCTAACCTGTCTTCCCCTCTCGCAACACATTATAATCCACATGAAACCCATCACCTGCTCCCTTGATCGCATCGATACCCCTCTCCTTACCTCCCAGCTCCATCTCTTTGCTTCATTCACCGACATCATCAACCTCTCCCTGTCCACTGGCACCATTACCACCGCCTTACAAAAAGCCGGTATCACCCCTGTCCTCAAAAAACCTTCCCTGGGCCCATCTCCAACTTCCCTTTCCTTTCCAAACTCCTCCACCATCTCTCCTCTCACCTCAATCTTCATGGTTCTGTCCTTGTTCAGATCCTATCTCTCAAACCGTCTCCACTTTGTCTCCACAAACAGCTTCTCCTTCAGCCTCCGCACCAGCTCCACCCCTTTGCCCCCTACTCACAGAACAGGCCTGACCCTCCCGCTTAGCTTTCGAGATCAGACGAGATTGGGCGTGTTCAAGATAGTATGGCCATAGACATTGGAGCATCACAATTTACAACACTTCATGAGTTACACAGAATATTTGCATTTGATTTCCATTTTGTGATTGAGAACAGGACAATAGGACCTAAAGTTTGCATTCAATGTGCTAAACAAATCACAATGTTTGTGAGTTTAATAGATGCAGAGATGGAGGATTAAATAAGATTCTTGACTATCAAAACTCATACATAAAGTTTCTTGTGACAATTTTTTTAAAATTCGGACTAAACAACCAAACCACAAGGAATCAATGACATATTTTTTGGTCCGTAGGTTGTCCGTCATCTGTAGAAACCCACTGCCATACTTCAGAGTATCCAAACCAGATATATCCACCTGGGGGGGGCGGGAGAGGTAAGTGGGGTCACCTTGGAGTTGAACTGGCTTGAAGGTGACATATTGGATAATGTAAGGTCAGAATTGAGCCAACGCTCATCATGATATGAAGTGAATTTGACTGGAATTCCAGCTTAAATGAAAAGAAATGTTGTATGTGGGTTGAAAATGAGTTTTTCTCCATGTCTGGTGTTGGTTGAAAGAAAAAGCCTACAGCACCTGGTATTCCCAGGCGGTCTCCCATCCAAGTACTAACCAGGCCTGACCCTGCTTAGCTTCCGAGATCAGACGAGATCGGGCGTGTTCAGGGTAGTATGGCCGTAGGCATTAGAGCATCAGAATTGACAACACTTAAACCACTACAGCTTCTGGGTCCAAGGAAATGTAGCGCCTCTTGCTCTGTCTCCACTGACTTCTCAGGGCTCTGTCCTCGGTCCCCTCCTCTTCACCCTCTATATCTCCCCCTTGGTGACATCATCCGCAGACATGGGGTTAACTTCCACATGTATGCCGATGACACCCAACTCTTCCTTTCCTCCTCTACCCTCAACTCCACGACAACTTTTTTCAGCTCAACGTGCGCAAAACCGAGGCCCTCCTGATTGGCTCGCGTCAGCGCCTCTGCACCTCAGGCGCTGACAGCATCAGCATCCAAGGCTCCACTCTCCACCTCTCAAAGCCAAACAGGAACCTCGGCGTTCTGTTCGACCCTGAGCTGTCCTTTCTTCCCCACATCCGCGCTACAACCGGCACCACCTTCCATCACTTCCGAAACATCGCCAGACTACAGCACTACCTCACCCCTCACGCTGCTGAAACTCTGGTCCACGCCTTTATCACCTCAAGCTGATATGGAACGCTCTCCTCGCCGGCCTTCCCGGCACTCCTCCACAAGCTGCAGGTCATTCAGAACTCTGCAGCTCATGTACTGTCCCGCACCAGGCTTCGGGACCACATCACTCCCACCCTCGCTCGCCTCCACTGGCTCCCCATCCCCCAGAGGATCGAATTCAAGATCCTCATCCTCACCTACAAGGTCATTCACGGCCTTTCTCCCTTCTACCTCTCCGACCTACTATCCCCCTACTTACCTGCCCGTACCCTCCGTTCCTCTGGCTCCGGTCTGCTCCACATCCCCCGCCCCAACCGCCCTACCATTGGTGGCCGGGCCTTCAGCCTCTCAGCCCCGAGGCTCTGGAACTCCATCCCCCAGTGCCTTCGCCACCTCCTCCCTCCTACTCCTCCCTTCAAGGCCGGTCTCAAGACCTTTCTCTTTGACCGAGCCTTCAGCTCCCCTCTCGACTCTCTACCCCCTCCTCGCTCCCTCCCTCCCCTCCCCTCACCCTGACCATGTCCCCCCTGCTCGGATCCTGACCCAACTGTCCAACGCCTTGGGACGTCCTCCCGACGTGAAAGGCGCTCTATAAATGAAATGAAAATTAAATCTTGTTGTTCTCTCTCCTCACACAACCTCTCCCTCTGCATCCACTCTGCCACCCACGTCCATGGCCACCCCTTGACCTGGTGATTACCTGGTGATGACCTCTCTCACACACTCTCCTTCTGTTTCTCTGATTCACTCTCCGTTTCTCGATTTCAATTTTAATTGTTCTTTCGCTATTTCTCCCTCACACACAATCTCTATTCTATATTCTTGATTATATTCTTCCATTAAATCACAACTACATTATTGTATGATTATATCTCATCCCCTCTCTCTATTTTTCTCCCTCCCCACACGCTCTCTATTTCTCCTTCTCAATTTCACTCACTCTATCTCTTATTTCTCTCTCAAATGTTTCTTTCTGTCTTTATTTCTCGCTCCATTACGCCATCTATTCTCTTTATTTCTCCTCTGATTCTTTCTCACTCACTCCCTCTATTTCTTTCTCCATTATTCTCTCTCTATAGATATATATTTCTTTCTATTTCTCTCTTTAAGTTGTCTCATTATTTCTCTCTAATTTACTTGACAATAATATTGCTGTAACATCTCGGAGCTGTGTTTACATCGTCACTGAACTGCTGTGCCGCTCACACTCACTCAGCACCATGGTTGTTCCGCTGTTGCTATGGCAATCACAGTCCACCGCCCCCACACTTCCGGTAAACCGTGGGCATCTGCTCGCGCAACACCGGAAATATCGACGGGACAAGACAGAGCAGCGGAGGTCTGACGTGTTTATCACTGTCACACCCCCCAACCCCATCACTGTCACACCCACCAACCCCATCACTGTCACACCCCCCAACCCCATCACTGTCACACCCCCCAACCCCATCACTGTCACACCCACCAACACCATCACTGTAACACCCCCCAACCCCATCACTGTCACCCACCCCCAACCCCATCACTGTAACACCCCCCAACCCCATCACTGTCACACCCACCAACCCCATCACTGTCACACCCCCAACCCCATCACTGTCACACCCACCAACCCCATCACTGTCACACCCCCCAACCCCATCACTGTCACACCCACCAACCCCATCACTGTCACACCCCCAACCCCATCACTGTCACACCCACCAACACCATCACTGTCACACCCCCAACCCCATCACTGTCACACCCCAAACCCATCACTGTCACACCCCCCAACCCCATCACTGTCACACCCACCAACCCCATCACTGTCACACCCCCAACCCCATCACTGTCACACCCCCAACCCCATCACTGTCACACCCCCAACCCCATCACTGTCACACCCACCAACCCCATCACTGTCACACCCCCAACCCCATCACTGTCACACCACCAACCCCATCACTGTCACCCCCCAACCCATCACTGTCACACCCACCAACCCCATCACTGTCACCCCCAACCCATCACTGTCACACCCCAACCCATCACTGTCACACCCCCAACCCATCACTGTCACACCCACCAACCCCATCACTGTCACACCCCCAACCCCATCACTGTCACACCCACCAACCCCATCACTGTCACACCCCCAACCCCATCACTGTCACACCCACCAACACCATCACTGTCACACCCACCAACCCCATCACTGTCACACCCACCAACCCCATCACTGTCACACCCCCAACCCATCACTGTCACCCACCAACCCCATCACTGTCACACCCCCAACACCATCACT